TAAACTCAGGCAGCTTGGTCCACACTCACATTCATAGCCATAAACCCTGCTGCTTCTCCATGCATTTATTTTTTTGAATATGAGAATTAGTCATAAGACACACTGTTTTCACTATTTCTCTCGTAACCTAGGCCAGTGATTTTCAAACTGTACTGGAAGGTAGGAAGCGCACAAGGACACGGGGTTGCAGATATGCACCCCCTCTGTAAACACAACAGCTCCATTTTATACATGGGAGTTCCACCTAAGATCTCATTTGAAGCAAAGGAAAGGGTGACCACCATTAATCCAAACATGTTTTAACCATATTATCAGAATTCTAATTTTCTGAGCCTCCACATCTTAAGTCTTTTCCTTAATAAGAGTTCCTAGGGGCGCCTGGGTGGCTCAGTAGGTTAAGCAGGTTAAGCGTCTGCCTTCCACTCAGGTCATGATCCCAGGGTCCTGGGATAGAGCCCTGCACTGGGCTCCCTGCTCGGCGGGAAGTCTGCTTCTCCCTCTGCCTCTCCCACGGCTTGTGCTCTCTCTCTCTCAAATAAATAAATAAAATCTTAAAAAAAAAAAAAAAGAACCTAGCCAGAAATTCATACATAATTTTTTTTCTGAACTTAAACCAATTAAAAAAATTGTTTTTTTTTTCCCTAAGGAGTCCATTTTATTTCTTCTTGCCAGGACTATTGTTAAGTCCATCCAGCTAGCATCTCTGTCCCTCCTGTCACCCCAATCCTCATTCTCTTTCTATTTGGTACTTTTCCTAAAATGCAAGGTTTTCATGTGACGCTCCACCTTGAAATCCTCGGATGGCTTCCCCATCTCACCACAGCGCTTTATTCTCCAAACAGTTCAAAGAGGATTTAACATGAGGCTAAAATAATTGTGAAACACTGACTTCAACACCTTAAAAAAAAAAATAGCACTTATGAGGGTGTTTCCCAAAGCATTTTACCACAGTTCCTTTTCTGCGGCTACACATGCACCCCTGGGAATCCGAACAGTGGAGTCAGGCCGCCTGGTTTGAGCCAGCCCCGGCATGGCCAGCAGGTCACCCTGTGCTGCAATGTCCCCATCAGCAACATGGAGACAGCCACAGAAGCCACCTCACAGAGTTAAGAGAATTCGATGAATTGATATGGAGAGGGTACTCGGCACAAGACAGGGTGCACTAAAAGGTGGCGGTTATTTTAATTATTTTTGTGACACATTTTAGAAACAGAATCCAGTTGAAACTCCCTAGCCAGACACATCAAACCCTTCAAAAGTGGACTCCCACCTGCCTTTCTACACTCCTACCCTCCCTGCCACGACCCCTACACACACACACACACACACACACACACACACACACACACACACACACCGCATTGCAAAATGAACTCTGCCCTTCCCTGAAAATTGCACATGCTTTCCTGTTTCTGTACCTCAGCACGGGTTGTCCCCTTCGCTTTGTTTCTTGTTTGTCCTAGTCTCTAAACTCCAGGGTTTCAGGGACCAGGGACCCTCTCATATTCAGCTTCCCTCAGGCCTTGATTGCATTTGCTGACACTATGAGCCTGGCCTGGGTCCTCTCAATGCCATTTGAAATGGCAGCATATCCATACATTCAAAACCAGACATGGTTCTCAGAAAGTCTTGCCATATGGATCCGTGTCATTATACAATTGTCAAAATCCACAGAATGCACAACACCAAGAGTGAACCCTAATGTAAACTATGGATCTGGATAATGATGTGTTAACCTGGGTTCATCTGATTCTAACATATGTCCTACTCTGGTGTGGAGGAGGGTGTGGGGGTAGGGGAGCAGGAGGTATACAGGACTCTGTTTTCCACTCAATTTTGCTATAAAGCTAAAGTGCTTTAAGAAATCAATTTTTAGGGGCGCCTGGGTGGCTCAGTTGGTTAAGCAACTGCCTTCGGCTCAGGTCATGGTCCTGGAGTCCCAGGATCGAGTTCCGCATCGGGCTCCCCTGCTCGGTGGGGAGTCCGCTTCTCCCTCTGACCCTCCCCCCCTCATGCTCTCTCTATCTCATTCTCTCTCTCAAGTAAATAAATAAAAATCTTTAAAAAAAAAAAAAAAAGGAGAAACTTTAAAAAAAAGAAATCAATTTTTAAAATGATAAACTGGTAAAACACAAATGATAATTAATGTAGATCAAAAGTTAAATGAAAATTAATTTTCCTTTCCTAATATAAAGCTATTATAAAATCTAGGAAACATTTAGACTCCAGAATACTTCTAAGGGCAAAACCAAATAGCCACCATAATCTGGTTTCCAAGCCTTAATAAAGACTAAACATTTTGCTATATTTTAGACAGATTTTCACTTTCTCCTCTCAAGCTCCATCAGCTCTATTTGGAAAATGACCCGAATCCAAAGAAAGTCAAGTGAGTAGAGCAGACCCTAGGTTCATCCCCTCCTCCTCCTGCTTCTGGAACAATGCATTCCTCCTCGAGGTGTGTATGTGCAAATGAAGAACAAAGTAATAGATTGCTTGATCTCACCAGAGTAGCTATAGTATTACCTTCAATGTCATCTGTCACAGAACAAAAGCATACAATTAAAAAAAGAAAGTGATGTGCTCTAACGTGGATGCGCCCATTTAGAGCATGTCAAAATAAAGCCAGCGTTAAATGTCAACCCCATCTTAGCATTAGAAGATCAATCACACTGCAACCCACACTTGACAGTAGAATCTGGACATCACAGCTTTATCCTTTGTGACAACAGTCGTGGCCTAATCCGGGTTTGACCTCTGCCCTCTTGCTGAGAGAAACAATGGTCTGTTGAGAGTAATTATTACCATACACGTCTCCAGACCCGCCTCCCGTTGCACCTTAGACTCTAGCCCTACCTGGTGATGCACACAGATGCCTTCTTAGCCCCCAAGAATGGCACCTACCCTTCTGAGCCCCTGTATCTTCAAAAATCCAATTCCCCATGCCCCAGATGGCCTTGCTTTCTTTTCCACCTGAAGTCCTAGGCATCCTTCAAGTCCCCATTCAGAGAGTGAGGGCTCTGTTCATCTTTCACCGAGCATCCTCTCCCCCTCCCAGGGCCATGGTGGTCAGTGGTACAGACTGTGTACTGCACAACTCTAAGGGTAGCTTTCGCCTTTGGGGCCTGCCCCTGCACTACCCTGTAGGATGGATCGCATTCGATCTTCACTTCACTTAAATGCTGGATTCCCCTACTCACCTGTGCATAGCTTGAAGACAAAATTATACCTTATTTATCTTCATTCATCAAGTCCTAACACAGTAATTGGCACACTGTGGTTGCTCAAGATTTTCTTCAATCAAAAATTCTTAAGACACTAAAATTGGGACAATCATAAATTATTAGATGCAGCACTATGCATTTCCCATACCAAATCTCTTTTAATATTTACAACAGCCCCCATGAGACACGGAAGGTGAGTATCATTATTCTGCTTTTATAGGTGAAGAAACTGATACCCAGAGAAGGGCAGTAACTTTTCCAAGCACATCTAACTCATAAGCGACAGAACTATCACTTGAACCCAAGTCCAAGACGCGAAAGACTGAGCTTATAACTGCCTCAGCACATGATATAGTGCCTCCCAATGCACGCAAAGAATCGTTATCCTAATGCGAGTTACTGAGAATACTCAAAAGTGGCACGATCTATAACTAAACTTTTCGCAAGAAATTTAGACCAGTCTTCTAATGGACCTATCTCCAGTCTTAAGGTTTCTCCTTTATGCCCATGCATATATTTAAATACGTATACCCAAATGGGCCACTGATAAGCAAAAAGGAACCAGCTATCAACCAACAAGATCAGAACACTTCCCATGTTTTTCCGCTGGGTCAGCTACCAAGCTGCATGTAGCTGTGGGACAGGAGAGCCTCCGTCACAGGAAAATACACTTCAGAGGAAGCCCCGATCACAGAAACCAAAGCATAAACCCGCAGACTGGCAGGAGACAGATGTGCTCAGGTGAAACAGCCCCCCCAGAGGACGGCAGTTGGCCTGTGGAGGACGCCAAGGGGAGAGGAAGACCTTCCTGGACCCCCCCTTCCTGTGTGCATGTGGCGAGAAGGTGGATCATGAGGAAGGTGTGCAAGATGACGTCAAACACCATCACTTCCAGCAGGCACCACCACTCACCCTACCACCCTGCCATAGCAGGCGACGTGGGCACAGGGCCTAGGACAACCATAGAGCTTTTCCGGGTCCTCAGATCCCAGGGGCTTGCAGTCCCTTCCACGCTGGTAACCACTCTATCTGTTACATCATCTTACCCACTGGCCTGCCTGCCCCGTGGCTCTCAGGACACACCTGCGAAGGGGTGGGTCTCACGAAACCCTCTTCTCTTGAATGTCTGTAAGGCTGGAAGAAGCAGGGCTGCCCTAGGAGTCTCATTCTGAAGAGTGATAACCTGACCCCTTTCACGGTCAACCCTGGCTTTGCTTCAAGCCCAAAGAAGTCTCACAGACTGAGCCAAGAAAAGGAGGGTCAGTTAGAATCCTGAAAGGCACAAAACGCCCATTTTACAAGCGCCCACAAAAAGCCTCACTGGTCATGCTCCTTTTAAATACTTCTCCAATTTTCCCCCCTCTTTGAAGAGGAAAATATAGAAACAAACAAACAAAAACGAAAAGCAGCTGCATCCATCCCCTCTGTGCGTGTTTTCTCCTAGACCTGCAGCTGGAACGCCAGAATGCCAGCTACCCCACTCAATGGTTTCAAAGAGAAAATGACCTTAGACACCCTCCCCCCCACCGGCGGAATGAAAGGAGAGCCGCCACCCCATGCAAGCTCTGGGCGGGGTCCTTGCTTGTCACGGCATCGCATCCGGGCGGGCCTCCTGATCCACTGAGGCTGCGAGATCAAGCCCAGGCCAAGGGCAGCAGGACCCTTCTACACAGGACGCTGGGGCTGGAAAGCCGGGCAGGTGCCAAAGGGCAGGTGGCCGGTCCCTTCGGCGAGTTCCAGCCTCAGACGCCCCGCCCATCCGCGCACTCCCGCTCTTACCTCCCGCAACTCCAGCCTCTGGGCCACGGCCTCCAGGCACTCCTGCCCGGTGCTCTCCACCGACAGCGTGCACTCGATCACATTGCTGTCCAGCAGGCGGATCCGCGTGACAAAGCAGTTCTTGCTCAGGACATTGTAGCGCCGCGTGCGGCGGAGCTTCAGGCCGAAAGGCATGGCGATGTGGCCCCCCGACGCCGCCTTCCCTTCCTGGCGCCCACGCCCCTGAGACGGCCTTAGCAGCTTCGTGACTGGGTGACGACACTACGGCACGTGCTCCTCCAGATGCCGAGAGAGGTGTCCATGCCCAGCGCAGCCCTCCGGAGGATCGCTGCAAACGGACAAGCAGCAAGGTCATCAGCTGCGAGGGAAGTTCGAGATAGTCCGCACGAGTTGAGCACACAGCCCCGGGACGGATGAACACCCAGCTTTGGGAACCAGCAAGCTCTGCGGCTCCCAAGCGTCTTGGCGGAGCCCATGCTCTTTACCTTATCTTACCTTATTGGGGAGATCTGATAAAATCCACTGGACAGCTGAGGACACTGAGGGTCGGGGAGATGAAAAGAATGCACCCAAGGATGCACAGAGTAAATGGCAAAGCCAGAATCCGAACCGATGTCTGTTCAATGTTAACTTCACATGCTTTTCTCACTGTACCATCCTGTCCGCTCAAGAAAGCAGCAAGAGTGGAATCTGAGCACTGTTTAACTTCTAAATAGATTATCTCATTCCGATCTCATTAACAACCTGATGGGGTAGATTTTATGATCCCCCTTTTAGGGAAGAAAGAAGTGAGGCTCAAGGAATTCAGTGCTCGCTGATCCTGAACTTAGGATCTTATCTTGTTCCTCCCTCCCTCTTTGCAATACTGCCTCCTTCTTTTCATTAACAGGTGTCTTTATTTTTCTTTTAATATTTATTCTGTTATTTGCTTTATCTTCTTATTTACTTTATACATTTAGAATGGAGGAGAGAAAAATGGAAGAAATGCACATTTTGTAGAGTCAGCAACATTCTGCATTTTAAAACGTTTCAAATACATGAATCCTTTTGTGCATTTAAAATCACAACTCTGTGCTTTTCTTCCCTAAATAGGTAAGACAGCTCGATGTGGAACCACCCCACCATCATTTTGTTTTACAAAACGCCTGATGCAAGTGTCTTGTCACCAAATTGCAGATACTTTAACTTACTAATAATGAGATGTATGGACACCCTGATGTCCCACCAAAGTTGACTGATAACATGATTGCCATGGAGAACACAAGAATAAAACAACAACAATAAAAGTGGCTTTACCATTCCACCCTGAGCCAGTAACACTCCCACTGGGAGCTCATTAATTGTATCTACCAAAGAAGCCAGAAAGGTCCAGACAGCCTTTCTGTTCCACTTTCCCTTCTCCATTCAGCCTAAAAGACCATCTCTTGCTCCTATGATCGTTCTGTTACCTTGATTCCCTAACTCAAGCAGATTCAGCCTATCTTCACACCCTTCATCCACAGAATTACCTTTGAGCCCCTGGACACTTAGATGGGCAAATATGAATAACTACTTACAGAAATTCCTGAATTAATAAATAAAGTGACTTTAATATTTAGGAACTACTCCCTGTCAGTACCCCAGACCTCACCGAGGTTGTCAGGGCACAACCCTACAACACAGCAAAACATACTCCCCAGACTCCCTCGGCCAGTCTTTGATGCCTGCCCTCTGGCACATTCCTTAGCATGACAGGTATGTTTTATGATGGCTTAAAATACACATGCTAGAGACTGTGGCTTGGTAAGATCTATTAACGTTTCTAAATCACTCTGTGTTGGCAGAGTGTCATGTTTACCTCTAAGGTAGGCCAACCTGATGATCTGATATATGCAGAAGAGACGATGTAGGGACCCACCCAAAAAAGCAAAAAAGAGAGAGCCCGAATTCAAACACAGACCCCTTAAGAGTTGACTACTCACACATTCATTCCCTCACTTGTTGAAGCACAGGGCAAGAAGACACCAAGATTTCACTTGTATATTAACCAGGGAGCCTCAAAGAAAAATATTTGCACTGTGGGCAGAAGCCACATTTCTAATCCTGGGCCAGGTACTTTATATTTGGGTGTGTCTCACCTTAAACACCTATGAAAGAATGTGGCTGGCTGGGTACACGTTTATCCCAGCCACTATTAAAAACAATCCCTGCTGTGTATTCTATAGGACGCCATCCATAATGCACAATTAGTGAAATAAAAAGTAAATGTACACAGAGATGATTGCAATTTTTATAATAAATGAAAACACGCAAAGTAATGGGAAAGAATGTAAGTTCACTAAAAGGATGAACAGGGCGAGGTAGAACTGATATTATATAGAACTCTCTATATTGTACACATTTCTTATTCTTTTTAAAGATTTTATTTATTTATTTGACAGAGAGAGACACAGCGAGAGAGGGAACACAAGCAGGGGGAGTGGGAGAGGGAGAAGCAGGCTCCCCGCGGAGCAGGGAGCAGGACCCTGGGACCATGACCTGAGCCGAAGGCAGATGCTTAATGACTGAGCCACCCAGGTGCCCTGCCTTATGTTATTTTTGCAAATAAAGATTAGCATATTCTAAATATGTTAGCTATTAAAAATGGCATGTCAGAAGCAACGTCTGACAATCTGGCAATATATCTCCTAGAAAATACCAAACGATTTTAAAGAGTTTTAAAACAATTTAAATCTTCAATCTGTAAGAAACTTGCCAGGTAAGGTATCAAGAAAAAAGTTATAAGAAAACTGGTCTGAAAAGTCAATGTCATGAAACAAAAAAATTGAACAGGGGAGTGGGGGAGGAGGGTGGCTCTCGAGTAAAAGAGATTTAGGACTTCTAAAAACAAAATGCAATGTGTGAACGTCAATCAAATCCAGGTTTAAAAAACAGCCATAAAAGACATGAGACAGGGAAATTTGAAATAGGGAATGGAAATTAGATATTAATGTATTACTGATAATTTTCTTCCGTTTTTGATAGCGGAATTGTGCTCGTCTAACAGAATGCTCCAGGGGATACCAATGGATACATCTAGGGGTAAAAATGTCATAATGTCTGTAATTTACTCACAAATGGCTAAAAAAACCCAATATGTACATATAAGAATTCAGAGTTGAACAAATATGACAAAACATTAAGAGTTGTTGAATCTAGATGGTGGGTGTACAGATATTCACTGCACTGTTCTTTCAGCTTTCCTATATACCTAAAAACGTTCCTAGTCAAAAGATTAAAAAAAAAAAAAAAAAAAAAGGCAACCCTCAATGCCAGTACCAAACAGAGCCCTCACAGTTCGGTTGAAACGCAGCTGCCTCTTTCAATAGATTTCTCTGATCCCTCCCAGCAAAGTATTCTTTCTTTGTCTGAACTCCCACATCATTTCTGCGTATTTTAACATACCAATCAAACTCGTGTTCAAAGTATTAGCACATTTGACTCTAAACTCCTCCAGAGCCAGAGACCTATTTTCTCCATCTTTCACACCTACATCTTCCACCTAAATTAAAAGCTCCTGGTATTTACACCCAGAACTTGTGTAGTCACAGAGCTGTAACCCTGGGAAGGGCTTCCAGGAGCTCATTTAAGACACCCCTCACCTCTAGCATGGGCTCCACCTGAATGATTTCAAGTAGATAATCTATGTGACACTCATCTGTAACCATACGGTTTGAGAAGAGGACCTCTTAGTCCCTTTCTGTTTTACCATCTTAATAGTCTACGAATTATCCGCCATGTTTAGCTCTCAAAAGAATCCATAGCACATGTATCACGAGTCCATCTTTTAACTACTAAACAGGCACAAAGTTCTTCATTACACGGAACCCAGCACCCAGCACCCAGCACCCTCTGTATTTTAAGCCTAATTCCTCCTCTTTGTCCTTGCTAGCCAGAGGGAGCAAGGATTACGATACACCACCGGACAGTAGACTGGATGTGAAAACCTATTACAAGCAAGTCCTCTCTGTTAAACAGTCTGGCTCTTGGCACTCTAATTACTTCGCCCATGTGGTTCTCAGGGGCCTCCTCATATTTACTGTAGCACATGAACAACATTATAAAACCTAGAACTAAGTGCCATATTCTCCTGAAAAGGTCACATGTTTATGATGCTTTAGATTTTCCTGATGAAACTGGGTTTTCAAGAGATCAAATTAGGGGGTCATCGTTCTATTTACTGTAAGATTTGTTTGTTTTTTTAATGGAAAGCTCCCTTACAAATAAAGTCACTTAAAAGACAGAGTTTTATCTACTCTTCAGGAACATATCCAGTAAATAACACCAAGCTGCAAATGTTGCTGAGACCCATTCATGGAAGTTTAATGGAAGGGACTCTTTGTAGTTATTGTCAGTATAGACAGTAAAACCAACAGTGTTGACTCATGATTTTTTTTTCAAGGCCAACAGGAACATATTCTAACTTCAAAACATCATCTGCTGATCCTCCTTTTCAAAGATGTACCTTAGTGAGAAAAGGAGCATTGGATAAGAGTTAGACCCTAGCCCTTTAGGGATGAGAGTCGCTGGGAATAAGAAGCAAATGTGAAAAAAAATAAAATCGCAAGGAAAGTGCCACCAACTCTCTGACCTCCCCGGCAGCTCGCGGGGTCTCTGGGTCCATGAAGTAACTGACAAGTGCATGTTGAAGGCTGCCCAGAGAAAGGACACCCACGTGACAGAAGGCGGGAAATGCAATGGAGCAGGGAGGTCCTCTCCAAGGACCAAAATTTACTCAGGAAACAAACGGAACATGTGCAAACCTTCCTGCAAGAACCGGCCTGGGTGAACGCCAAGTGGCTTAACCTTTCCCAGTCTCAGTTTACTCATCTGTGAAGATAACACCCACCCCACCGGTTTGTGAGAAGTCAATGAGAAAATGCTTCTGTGGGTGTACACATGTCCCCTTCCCCCTCGCACAGGAAGCCAAGTTTGCTCAAAGGATAGCACAGCAGCTATGAAAAGAAGGGCTTGAGGGCGCCTGGGTGGCTCAGATGGTTAAGCGTCTGCCTTCGGCTCAGGTCATGATCCCAGGGTCCTGGGATCGAGTCCCGCATCGGGCTCTCTGCTCCTTGGGAGCCTGCTTCTCCCTCTGCTTCTCTCTCTCTCTCCCTCCCTCTGTCTCTCATGAATAAATAAATAAAATCTTTAAAAAA